TACAAAGTAACGCGGAAATATATGAAAAAAAAAAAAAGAAACAGAACAGAATGAAACAACGACGGAAAAACTTCATCGATACCCGATGGTCCGTGGAAAACCGCCGCTACGATACGCGTAATGGGAGGTCTCACGGACGATCGTTCATGAATTCAAGGTTAACGAGCGTATGCTTGATCGAGCTTCGCCTCGACAATTAGTCCGGCTAAAATTTTCTACCAGGACAATTAACGGTTAGCCGCGTGCCGAGGTTGATTTATGTGTTTCCACGCGTAACAATCGGTTCCTTAAAGCATTCCCCTGGGTGACGCGGTCGATATAATTGGTTAATCACCCGATCGAGGGGAATTGTTGTTTGCAGACGGGGCGGATATACCAGTCGTTAACAGACAAATATGAACAAGCAGGCGTGTCAAGAGTTTATGCAAATACACACGGAGCATAATAGACGTATACTGAAAAATCTTGGATCGGTACGAAACCTCGAACCGTTATGGAAACACTTATGACGGGAATTTTGAAATTTCGGGGGAAGAAATTTCTGTATTAGGGGGTACAAATGTGAAACATCTAGCGATTATATTTTTCGAAGAATTTCTACGGTGGGACGAAATTTTACAGAACTTCGTACATGTGGTTGGTCGAACTTATGTGAACGCTCATTTACTTTCAAGCGAAATTTTATTTGGAAATGACTGTTTCTTCCATAAGAATATTGGCGTAATTTTTTATTAATTCTGGATTGTCAAGTTTCTTATGTGCGTCTTGCCATTTTACTCTAGTAACTTGTACGAACGAAAGATGCTCGAAAATTTTGAGGGTGGTAGCATGTTTAATAAAGAAGTGCGACTACACAGGTAAGTTAGTAATTTTTCTGTTAATTTTTGCTTCTCTTTGTGGTTCCGTTAAAAGTGAGAACAGTTTCGTCATGCATCGTGGATGAGCTTGGATCGTTTATAGGTACTGTTATTCCACTTTGGTACGTCATCGTTATCGTGCCGCAACAACCAAGACAATGACTGATGCGACGGGCAATTGTTCCCTCTGTGCGTTCTCGTTTCCAACGAAGCTCGACGTGTGTCGTATACCCGGAACAACGAACATTTGTCTCAACATTCCTCCATACATCGAATGATTTTCCTATGTTTTCGGAAGGTAATAAAGTTTAACTCGTGCCTCATCATTGTAAATGTTTCTTAGATATCCCGTTCCGTTATATGGCATTTGCATATTCCATTGCGTAGGCCATTAATTGCATACGATACTGTATAATTTCCTTATCTACCGAGAAATCGGTATGTTTTTGAATCTTCTCTACGTATTCATGAATATAAACTCGATTGTGCTGGTTGGTATTTTTTGAGTATTAAATGAGTTCAGATTAACAAAAAAAAACAATCTCAATAATGTGCATTTTTCTGACGTACTTGAATTGCACCGACTCTCAATCACAGACGGAATCGAATTATCTCAAGGTTGACGGAACTGAAGTAAACGACTCTGGCAGTCGGGCGATCGAAACCAGAAGGACCCAAGGCAATCGATGTTTAGGAAGTCAACTCGGGGAACGGCTGGATCTGCAAGCTCTAAGGGTCAGAGGATCTTCGGAACTCAATTCATAACTTCGAGGGACCTCAAGTTTGGACTAAAAGTATTTCGAATAATGATTTCGTTAATCCAAGTCAGGAGATCTTTTGGACCCAGAAACCCAAATCTGATGGCCCCCAAAGCTTCTAGGTCCTAAATCTTTCTGGATTCGATCACCACCTACGGATCTACATTTAGAAAATCACGCCAAGCGCACAGTACCGTTTTTGATGATCTAGCGGCACAAGTCCTGTCATCTAAGCATCATGGTAAAGTATATTTGAACAATTATGATTTGCATAACCGGAATATTTCAACGACTTTTACCTTTCAGCAACTATACCGATCTAGATTGGTTGATGTGATTAACATATCCACATTAGCTTAACTGCTCTGACAGAACACGACAGGTCATATATAATTAATTTACTTTGCTTATCGGAACCTGAATATTACATTGCCAATTTGTAACATTGACACAAATTAATATCACATTTAATTTCGTTTCTAATTACTGTTTTCCCACGATTTCATTTCGGTCGATCTTTTCGCAAGCCGCACGCGTGGGAATTTATGGTTAACTGTTCGAAGAAAGTGGATTTTCCCAGTCAACGCTTTCCTGTTACAGTCACTAGGACGTATTCTCCATTGACGTCACGGTTACTCCTAGAATTTCGTAGACGGTCGCCTGAGCTAACTGAATAAATGATTGAATTAGATGACGGTGATCCTTCGAGTTTCTGGAAAACTAGAGGAACGATCTACTGAATGCAATATATTAACATATATCTGCAAATGAATACACAAGGTGATTCTATAATTCCTACCACTTTCTATATAAACTCTTTACGAGCACAACGTGTAACTAAAAATATAAACATTTGGAATATCGTTCAATTTTGATATTTCGATAGTGGACCTTTCATCTTAAACGCTGCTCCAGACGCCATGTTGAATTACATTCCATACCTGTAAAGGTGCTTGCACAATAATTGGCAAGTATACTAAAATAATATGAAAACGCTACAAAAATAACATACACATTTTTATAAAGAATAGTGAAACGAACGTGCCACAGTCTATCGGAATATTCTACGACCACTTCTGTCGATCCGAAATAACGTTCCTTCCCTGTCTGGGCATCGTCGAACGAGTATTTTGCGTGTTACGTAACCTTGATTGAACGTCTGATTGGGTCAAGTGGCGAGAACAATAGTTGGTGTCTGTTCGTCTCTCCGCGCCGTGCATAACCCTATTTTACAATCTTAATTTATCACATCCGCGGCAACATCGCTGCCCCGCGCGCCGGCTTCCTCGTTGCCGGAAGTGTCACTTTGACGTCTCGTTTCGCGGCCGATAATCTCGAAATTGAAAAGAAACACCCAAGGCCGATTCTATAAACTGCATCCTACCGCGTGACGTACACGCTAATACCTTTATTCTCCCTAATTCTGCATCCTTGCTTGCAAATGCAATTTTATTACCTTTTCCCCCCTCTCCACTCTTACTGGGAAAAATTGCAGGCTATATTGACGGAGGTAATTGTTTGACCCTTGTGTACTCTTCGGGTCAATTTGAACCAAACTCACGAATTTAATTTTAGATTATATTCTTTACCACAGAAACTTTTAAACTAATTCGACACCGGTAGTTTACACATAGAACGATCGAGCGATATGTGAGTACCCTAATTCAATTTTGGCTTAGACCAAGCTTAATTCAAGGAATAGTAATACAATATTGATAGTAGAATAATTCCTACACTAATTTTTCTTCGTAGAATTATTACTATAACACGTGGTATTTATAATCTGCAGTTTAATTGCTTCCTGAATGCCATTCAGATAAAATAGAGTTGTTGTCCTCTTCTTAGCGACGCATACGCCTATTTACATGCATAAATTATGCAGGCTCGCTAAACGCAAACGCTTCTACAAGTTGTCACGGTTTATCGTCGGCTGATTCGATGCAGATCATTTGTGCATCGTCGATCACCGATTCCTACGGAAATCATCAGATTGCTTCTCCGTTCATTGAGCGCCATTTACACGGGGAGTCTGTTCTGCCTGGATAGCCTTTATTGAATTTATTACTGAGTAGCTGGTGATGTACAGTTGTATCCCATCGTATATATTTTTCGCGCGCATAAATAGTTAACACACAGAGCAACGTATATACACGAACACCGTAATTTCTGGCCACTAACGAGCCAGAGAGAGAGAGAGAGAGAGAGAGAGAGAGAGAGAGAATTAATTACACATTAATCAACGTTGGACAATTTAACGTGTCCTTTATACAAATTCTCCTATGCAATCGAAAGTGTCGCTTCTTTATAGTCAATAGGAAGATGATTCGGGTTTGTATCGCTCTAAATATAACGATTCTTCCTTATAACAATAAGTTGCAGTTCATTTATAATTAAAGATATACACCTACTTATGTACAGAACTGTATATATCGTGTTGGAACGGAATGTATTTTGGTTTTTATTTACGAAATGTCGAGAATCGACAGGAATTTGCAATTCCTTAGAAATTCTCGCAATTCCTTGACTAGATGTACTCGCGTAAAAGATGGCGGATCCGTTGCACGAATCCTTTCGTATGAGACATTCTATGCCTGGAGGCTTATTTATAGAAGATATTCACATATTCTCCATCTTGAGGTCTTTATTATTCATTGGTTATTTTAAGAATCGAGAATGTGTGATTATTTTTTGGTATCTTTACTCGTTCTTGTTTGAAAGCAGGATGGTACTACGCTTGTTTAAACTGAACCAAATCAATGAATAAATAAATAAATTAAATAAGTTCCAAAGTTTGACGACCGAAATAGATTCAATCGAGAACGACGTAATCTCACCGAATCGAAAGAATTTAACTCAAACCGAATTAAATCAAAGTGATTGACGTTAAACTAAATCGGATTATGAATTAGTTCAAACTAAACTGACTCTGACTAATTCGGATCGATATTCGAATAAGCGAAAATAATTACAGTTCAATCGAACTGAACTAGAACACTCAAAATTCAAACATGAAACTGAATCAATTTGGACTAAAACTGATACGAACTGCCTTCGAATCGAATTAAATTATTCCGAACCGATTCAAACACAATTTGGGGCGAATCGAACATTACCTGACCGTTTCAGACCAATTCGAATCGAAGCAAGTCAACCTAAAAATATGTTCAAACACAATCACGATCGGACTAATTTGGAATCGAACAATATCGAATCGCTACGGATCAATTCAAATTGCAAATATTCGTCAACCTAAACCGATCCCCAACGAATTCGTGTTTCTATACCGACCACACTAATTCGAATCGTTACCAAATCGGGAGCAATTCGAAATGAAATCTAACGTGTCCGTCTTCCAGACGCGATTCAGATTCAATCGAGTCGGTCGTCGAGTCAGCCCCCAATCCTGTTATAGAGTGGCGATACTCGGGCTTGGAGAATCGTGGATGTTGTTCACGTTTGAATTGCTTCAAACGCTTTTCTCGGATATGGTACTCCTGATGCTCCTGTTGCTGTCCCGCCTCTGCAAGGTACGGGCGTGCCTCGGTGCACGAACAGGTGTCTCCCTGTCGCTGCCCACTCGTCTAAGGCTGGTGTCCCTTTCGACGCGAGCGTTCTTCGGCACAACCGGGCCACGAATGTTCGTGTAGACCACGTACACCGCTAAAATACCAACCACGAACATGGCGACCCCAACGCCGCTCACTGTGCCCACCTGAAATTAATTATTCCTCAACGTACCCGAAGGGATAATCCACTTTAAGACTTTAAGAGTCTACGGTAGCAGTGAAATTCGACTCGTTAAAGCTCTCGTTTCGGTTACTTCGACAGGTTGAAAGGGACCGACGAAAAGATTCCATGGAAAATCATTTTAAAAAAACATTTTAAATTGTTAATGCAAGTTCATAGCATTAAACTTTCATTTGAAATTTTCTTTTCTATCTCTTGGTACTATAAGAGTTATCATACCTATATATTTCATGCCTTAAAGGGCGATCGGGCACGAATCAAACATACTGTTATGCTTGTCTCGAATCAAATTATAAACCTACAAAGTTTTCATTCCACTTCCCGAATCAGCGTTCGCGGTGTTCACTTTTGAGTATAAAGATCAACAGTCTACTGGTATAACTTCGCTTTCGACATACATACATTCTTCGGCTATATAAATCTATCGATCCTAAACGATTTATCCTTATCCGTGTTTTCTCGTACTATTAGAATCCGACATTTCGACGAAAGGTTTACTTGGAGTCGTTTCGAAATCAACCAACGATCTACGAACTAACCATGGTCCACCATTCGCTGTTGTCCATCTCGGAGACCAGAACCTGGGCCGCATCTTCGTCTTCTTCGTGCATCAGCTTTATCTCCTTGGCCGTCGTCGCGCAGCCCGTTCGTGTGCCTTTTTCTTTGGCAATCAACTTCTTGAAAATATTCGGCATTTCTTCCCCGTTGTGATCGTCATCGTCGTCGTCGTCATCATCGTCGTCGTTGGAGTCCTCGTCGCCCCAGTGTAACGTCGCCTTGTTCTTTTCGACGGCCACGGTGCCGAGGGACTGCAGGTCAGCGGCCTTCACTTTCATCGACAGATCGATGGACATGGCTGTTGTGTGCGATTCCTTCGCGTACCCGGTTAGAACATTCGACAGCACGTTGTTCCAGTCGACTGGGTTCACCTGGCTCTTGCACTTCTTCTTCTTACTGAGAAGAAGGTGAACGAGAATCGCATGAAACCAAAAGTGTGCTCTTGCGAATGTTACCAGACTTTAAGGATCGAACGTTCCCAAAGTCGTATAACAGCCGCCATTATGACACTGTTACGAGGAAATACACGATAAACATTTTAGCTGGTAGATGATCAGAAATATCGTGGTCCAAAGGTGTAAAAGTAATTTTGATTTTCTGCTGAATTAATGAAACAAGGTAATAGGACATGAATTGATTAAACCTGTATTCGACGTGTTACCAATTACCAGCGTATTCAAATACTAGAAAAATTGAACTTGTACCCGGCATCTTGGAAATGTCACTAACCCTCCTTCCCCATTGACCAAAACTATTTATACTCGCTGTAACAGGAGAACGGATAGTTTACGTGTGTGTGTGTGTGTGTGTGTTGCATGCAATAGGACAAGGAAAAGGTAAGCATAATTTAGAGTTTAATACAAGCTTAGCCATTAGTTAGTCAATTTTGAGTTACAACCGAGAGCTGTGTTTCATAACGTCGCGCCGTACAGATGCCTCCTTGGCTGCAACGTAAATTCATTACAATGAAATGTGGTCGATCAAAATGAAAAATCGTTTATCCTTCGGTTTAATCGCCAACTCAGGCTACGAATACCTTGCGACCGTATGATTCTTATGAAACGTAGAATTCTAATGAAACGGCTATTCTTTCACCCACTATACATGCCGCGTATCATACAAATGCTGGGGATTCGATTGAAAGATCGACCAAAACAACGATAATTTACGTAGGCAATATTATACGAACACTAATTGCCCGAAGATAATTATTAACGTGGACAAAGGCGATTCACCCGCGGGGCTTTATGTATCGAGCAAATCGTTTACAATATCGCCCAATTAATTGGATCGTATGGTTTCTGGCTTTGCTACACACCCATCAGAGTATACACACACGACAGAATCGTTCTGCAATCGAACCGTTCCGAAAGGTTACACAGTGTATATTACTCGAAAGTTGCAGGAGTGTCGGCCTCGATTCGCGAAATCTATACACGAACGGCCATTACCGAGATAATCGACAAATTAATTTCTCGGTTGCTTAATTAGCTGTTACGTGACGTACACGGCTTCGAGTCCGCGATTTGTGTCGATTACCCACGGACGCTACCGGAAGAAACCACCGCGTCTCTTTCTTTCATTCGACACGATTGTTACTTTCTACGCGAGTCACCGATTAATAGGCAATCAAATCATCATGCTCACCACAGCGCGTCTAATGCTTTCGCGTAGACCGTTATCGCGTCCTCGAGCCATCTGACTTCCCTCAGCTCCTCCGCGTCGTACTTTCCAGTGTCCTTGCTGGACCACCATTTTGATTTCAAGACTCTCGTCTCCAGTCCGGCGAATTCGTTTCTGAAACGATTCAAAATCAACGGACTCGGTTCGATAAACAATCCTACGACAATGGCTTCACTGAAAGAGATATGTTAACAGATATTATATGTAAAGTGAAAGTCGAAACTAAGTATAAAGCTGAGGTTCGCGTAATACAGACTCCTCTCGATTGTTGTCCCGAACTTGGGTCCGCGCAGGGACAATAATTTTATAGTAATTCCTATATTTTCAAAGCGTATACTCATTTTTGACTATCACTGTATGTATAGGCATCTACGAGATATAGTTAGATCTGTAATAATCTAAGTGTACATAAATGACCTTTAGAATATTTTTCGTTTTTTTCCTCTAATAGACGCGAGCGTATCGTTTCAATCTACACATGTAATGCCCGATTGTTCAACGATCAGAATCTACATCCACGGATCCGCACTCGTCATTGGGATTTTCAATTGTAACGGTTGCTAATACATACGTTAACGGCACGACCGGTATGTACTAATGAACTCGGTAATCGCGTATATCGTTCGCATGCATAGGCAACGTTATTTCTATTACGAGTCACATTATACGCAAGGAGCTAATAATTACACGATCTGAACGTGTTTCCATGAATAATAATCGTAGTGTTTAATAGCAGATTGAATGTAAACGTTTCAGGTAGATGCATCCGGTGTCGTGCGAATATAAATGTCACTGGCATAACGACACGAGAATGACAGAGGGATAGAGAGAGAAAAAGAGTGAATATTAATTCTTCTTGGTGATTGTCCATCTTATAACGACGGGACATGTTATCCGTAAAATGGAAAATTAAATTGTGTCTCTCGCGTAGTATTACGTTTAAAAAACATTAATTAGATTCTGGCAAATTTTTTCGATGAACGTGATTTACCGTTTTTTCGGTAACGTGTGGTCATCAAATAGCTTCCCAAAGTATTGCGATAATTTTTGTCCTACCCTACAAGAAAAAAATTGGATTTTGCCCCCTCTCCTCCTTTCCCAGAGTTACAAAATTTTTGCGTAATATTTAATATTGCAGTATAATTTGAAACACGACCAACAGCCTCTATTAACAAAACGCATACATTTTCAACGATTTATGACTTGAAAAACAAAATATAGCGTGTCTGACTACGTACAGCCTTCTTCACTTCATTTTTGCCCCTCCTGACTGATAACTTGGCTACGCCCATGAACGTAGGGTAACATAGTAACAGGTTCCTACTGAATTTTCATGAGTATACTGCTTATATTAAAGGTGTAACAACTGATTTCAAAGGTAATTATAATGTAGAATTACCTTTCCTTTTTTAAACCCTCGTTGTCATTGAGTCAGCTGTTAACTCTACCAGAGCAAATTAAATACGTTATTAACGGAACCTTCGCGTTCTAGCCAACAAGAGACATAAACCGTGTTTCCCTGTCTTCGTGCTGATCCCAATACATAATACAACTTCTTTGCATAATGAACAGAACAAATGTTAGGTACCGTTCCGAGTCACTTTTCGAAGTGACGTGTGCGGTTAGTCGGTTATATTTCTTCTCGACCGCGTTTCAACTGGTTATGAACAATTGTTTCGCTGGAAATTATAAAACACGGTAGAAGAAGTTCTTTAAACGGTGTAATTAAGACGTGCTCGGAAGATTCAATTAATGCGCGAAAATTATACAGATTCGTAAAACGAAAGCAATTAATGGAAGCTAGGATCGTTATGCGGACTATGATTACTGCTGTAATCGATGGGACACTAATTCATGACGCACAGATCATTTTTTTTGTGCGTTACACTCGTTCAATTCACTGTTCATCGGTGTTCCAAAATACTCTAATATTAGGAAAATTCGAAGAGAAGATAGACAACGGGTTGTGGAAGAGGAGCGAAATGTTTAATCGTTATCGTTGAGCATCGATCATTTTTCAATTGCTTCCGATTGTTGGCGAAGAAAAAACGAAATTGTGAAATTAATGTGCCGCTCGGTGCCGCAATTCTTTGTTTTACAATTTCACGCCGTTACGCTCTCATTAGCTTTTATACCGCGAAGGACGACAGTGTTTATGTAGGTGCTAAGCTGAAATAAAGATTATATTGTCTTATGCAAAACTTCAGATGTTCTGAAAATATTTAGAAACTACCACTTAACTTTTATTTGTCAAACTTTAGATTATAGGAAAAGCGAAATTCAAATTATAAATCGCGTCTACTTGTCGATTTTCATACAAATGGATCGGTTTCTAGAACGTGTTCACAGGAAATCTGTGGTGAGTCATCGTTCGGTTTCGATTTGTCCGCGATCGATGCTTTTTTTCCCTCTCCGTCTCTCGCCCTTTTTCTTCTGTGCAGACGTTTCCTGAAACGCCGCTGGAGACTGAAACAATTACGTGTCGATATTTATGGTAGCGGTACGATGTCTGCGCAACACGCGAGAAATATTTCTGTTTTGCATGCGTAGTGAGTCACCCGTTAATTGAACGGACTGCGTCCATTGTCGCGGGGAGGATGATGGTATAAACAGTCGATTGTTACGTAACCGATCCGATCTGATGGACGAGACGACTGGAGACATAGCTACCGATCGGCTACCGGTTCCAAGATCGATAGACGAAGCTTTCAAATGATCGATTTGATCGGCTATTCTCAACCTAGGTCAGTAATGATCTAGCTTATAGGATAATTGACGTAAAACGGTCGATTAAGTTCAGAATTTTCGCACTTAACTAACTGACAACAAGATTTCACCAGATGTAACACTACTTTTTAATGAGATTCTGTCTAGAGTCTCTACTTCCGTTTCGAAGAGGATGACTACCTTTTTCGTTTTATATTTTCACGTTGTGTACAATAAATCTCTGATACCAGTGTACACCCTGCAATTTAGGATCTAAACCTTGATAACAATCTCGAATATATTTTTCGATTCGTATGGAAGTAATTGAATTAAATTAGGAATCCATTAACATTGGCGTAAGCGTTACCTGGAGTCTTCCAGAAGCAGTATACTGTTCGTCGAATTCACGTGGTTCAGGTGGTCGTCGAGGTGTCCCTCGCTGAGGACAATGACAGTCGCGTTCACGGGCTTGCTGAAGAATCCCTCTTCTGGTTTACCGATGTGCACGATGTGTGTCGTTAAATCTGAATTCAAATTCAAAATACAACAGTGCATCACGATCAAAAAGCAACGAATAATTAATATTTCGCAACGAATATTCCATTCTAAGTATACATTTCTTTATCCAGAAATGACAGTTATAAGTGAAAATGTCAGTGAATATATAGAAAAAATAATTTTCGAATGGAGTTAGAAAGTACCTCTAAAAATCAATTTCCAATTCTACATTTCAAGATTAAACGTTGTTAAAACGAAACTTTTAGGGGCTGGTGATTGATTGTCGCCACAAAACGGGAAACAAAGAATGAAAGGTAAACGAAAAGCTTAGTAAAACTGATGGGCACAAGATTAACCGATTCTAAGGATCCTTGGGGGGTGACGATGTAAAACAACAACATCATTAATTATCGCGACATTAAGGCAGCAGTTTAAGTACCGTCATCGTCGCCATCGTGGATCAAGACACAGAGACCCTTCTCAATGGCGGCCATTGTCAGCTTTTTGGCGATGTTTTGCGTGTCGTCCTCGCCGTCCTCGTCAGCGTTCACCACTAGCGAGAATGACTTCCACTTGAGTTGCTCCACGACCTTTAGCGTTCCCTGAAACGATGCGAACCGACGATGTGCAAACGTGGCTAATTTCAAACGAACGTCACGAGCCAAGTCGGTTTTTTTTTATAAAGATGATTACATAAAGAAGATAGACAAACTCGTCCTGAATATTTTCTAGTGACATTTGATAACAACTGGGGACGGTCTCACCTGAATCAGATAAGAATCGGATTCCTTGGCGAGATAATGAAGAAACGGGGAATTCGATTCCCGCCTGACGATATGCGGCACTTTCAGCACCGACGTTATTTTATGTACGGCTTCCGCATTTGTCGCAGTGTCTGGCCCAATAATTCCTACGGAACAAAGCCGGTTTGACGTGCAGTGAAAAACTATCCGCACGTAATACATCGTAACGAAGCAAAATCGTTTTGTTCGTTAACTGTTTCGAATAGGAGACAGTAATAAATGTTTTTCAGCGATACGTAATTTCCGATCCGTAAATCTTGACAATGGGAAAAACATTTATTAGGAGAAATAACGGAATAATTCTGGAGATTGTTGGTGGTTTTATGGAAGATATTTCGATTGTTCGAATAGATGAAATAATTCATCGTTTACTTAAGATAATATTCAGGTATTGTTAAAGGTTACCCAAAGCGAACGTTTACCTAAGTAATGAGGGGGTTGCAAACAGTTAGTGTCCGCCCCGACGAGAGCCTTCATCCCCGCTTTCAGAGAGCCCGCGATGCTACCACACGTGTCCAAAACGGTCAATTCTACAAAAAACAAACGTCACGATTAATCCTCAATCTAGCACAAAAAAACCTTCTAAAATCCAAGACCAAGTAAAATAACATCCCTTTGCTCTCGAGACGTTCCAAGAAGAATCGCTTTAAACTTTAGCTTCTGACTTGAATCGAGTACCACTTATAGTCACCTAACACGTGATATATTAACTAACAGTAATTTACGCCTAATGAAATTACCCAACAATACATTCGACGCCAGAATACTATCTAAACAACGCGAAGCGTGTGACACCTCGACCAAGCATCGAGACACCTGTGTATTCCCTTGGCACCGATTTCATTAATTCCATCAAGGCAGAAACAGAAAAAAATCAGCCAATGGATTGAAAAAAAAAATCCCCCCCGGGTTCGTTACCGATATCGTATCCGGTAGACTTGTTGTTGTGAATCTCGGCGAGCAGCTTCGCGGCTTCGTAAAGGAGCACGCCTTTGGGCGACAGTTTCCTGCAGGACGGATCATCGTGGACGCTGGTCAGCAACGAGATCTGCGCGTGATTTCCGCATTCCGTGCGTCCGCCGCAGGTACAAGCGCAGACAATTCCGATAATTACCAGCGTAGCTCGCCAGATGGCCATGGTGTATTCGATTTTTCTCCGGGATCCTCGACGGAATTTCCCTTAATTTCCCTCCGTGTAATTCTTCTTTCACTTTCAAAATTCTTGGTTGACTCCGTTGCCTCGTTGTTTATTCTTCCACGATAATTACCGCAGAATATTCCACTCCACCGGAGTTCTCAGCCGGGTCTCTGCAACGATGTCGCAACAAACGGTCTTTCTTGGCGGCACGTAGAGACAAGAACGCTAATAACAGCGCAACGAGCGTTGTACGTGCGATTTTTCCCAGTCGTTAGGCTTTTGAAATCTTACGGTAAGTACATTACAACGTTCCTTCCATGGACTTTTTCTTTGTTTTTTTTTCTTCGTCTTGTTTTCCTCGTTTCGTTTGGGTTCACTGAACTGTGTTACACACTGGACGGACGCGACGACGAGAGGGGTGGTGCACGGAGCGCGAAAAGTACCCCCCGATTGTGGGCCAGACCGTGTTGGACGAAGAAGTCGGGGGAAACGCGAAAGGAGCCCCGTATGAGGTGTTGTCTTTCCCTCGAAGCTTCTTCTCCAACTGCGGACCTTGGTATTGAAAACAAGAAGCTATATAAGGAAGCCAATGCGACATGTATTAGGCGAATTTCTAGGGTTTTAGGCTTCATCGACCGGACGCCCAGGCGTTCTCAAGGCGACCTTGTTCCGCGTGTTTTCCTCGCGATTTCTCTGTCGCACGTTCGCTCCTTCATTCTGTCGTACGCTATACTGACAATTAAGCCGCGAATGTTTTATGTAAATTTACGTTCCTTTCGATTATTGGCTTTAGGCATAAAAATCAATACCGTCATGGTCTCGATAAGTATTACTATAATAATGATAAGGGTCACTTTGGTATAGAAATAGGTAGGTAAAGTGGTTAAGTGTATATGTTTATTGTATTAATTTTATTAATTTTTCCTTATGAAATTGTATGTCAATGCAGTATAGAAGGCTTCTTTGTACCACCAAAGAAGAGGCCTTGGAAAGTAAGAGTGAATAGACGAGTGACACCATAAAAATATTTTAAATATTTGATATAATCAAGTTACTTAAACAAATGTTTAAGTTGTTACATAGATTAAATTGAAAAGAAAATATTCGCTTTCAAATAACAATATTTCTATAAAAGCGTAATATCAATAATCATAGCAACTTTATGTTTGTGGAAATAAACAATTAGTTTCACATTTTTTATTGCGATATAATGACGCAGTGTATAATACATCTGTAGTAATAGGTGTTGTACAACACAGAGGGTTCAATACTTTTTCCTGTTAAAACTCAGTAGTCTGTGCCCCGAAACACTTTCCGTTGTTTTAAAAACCAAGGGAAATACTTTTAAGGTGTAAAGATTTGAAGATCATCCTCTGAATAAACTATTGCAAGGCAAATATGAAGAACGTAAGACACGACCTGCTGCTAACAAACTATTGTTAAGGCTTAATATAATACCTTCTAATTTTCCAATTGTCACCGTCGTTTCACACCAGGTGTTTAGAGTCGTGGTACTTGAATGAAATGATCCGGATTACCTTCATACAACCTTGAAGGCAGGTTCTAAAAATCACATTTAGATACTTGTATTTATAACATTAGTATAAACCGCCTACCGCCTACACCGCCCGATTGGCGGAATACGAGTCGTTGCATTATTCCACCAATCCGTAGACGCAGTGAGCAGCTAGACGCCTTCGTTTATCTGTAGTGGGGGGCGAACATTTCTCCCGTTTACTTCATTATCATTTTACATTCATCGCAACTGTAAACCTTTCTAACACATCAATCTAAGTAATTAACATTATTTCTTTCTTCAATGATTTCTTACCACTAATAATAGTGATTATAAGAAATATGCTCTAAATACAGGGTAAATTGGATTAGTAGCCAAAGTATCTCGAAAGATGAATAAACAACTGGTAAGCTTTTGTTTACCCAGGAGGGAGTGACAAAAGATTATCGTTAACACGATTGATGAACAAGTTTCCAGAGGGACCCATGGCATGCATTTTCGTAGCGTGAGCACCCCTCTTAATCGAGCGTAAGCTCGTTAGCATAGTATGGACTACAAGACTGTAAATCCTTGTTGCACAACCTCACCCTTGCATAACTCCTTGATGACTGATTAAAATGCAACATAGTCGCGAAACGTGCGCGGTTAGAAAACTTCGTTACACATATGTGGATATCGCATCGATTTGGCCTTACGTTATCCTGAAGTCATTCGGATCAGACTTGCAAACGCGTAGAGGAAATCGTAAATCTTCGATATGCACAGGATCACGATACGACGGAGATAATATTGATGTGCCAGAAAAACCACGTTTGACAATGCGTGGCAATCATACACGCATGCTACACTGTATCGCAATTGATCGCAACAATTTCATCAGATTCTACTGCGTGCAACCGATATTCATATCTACAGGTAGGGTCCCGTTTTTGCCCAGCGTTTTCCTCTTCCGGGTTTCGTTGTTGCTCGGTTGCTTCGAATCACTTATTAATGTATTGCATCCAGACTCGAAAGAAGAGATTTTTCAACAGTTGTTGTAAAATGATTAATTTTTAAGTGTTCAGTTTATTGCATTCCGTCATTCCTGGAAATGATCGGTGGTATTGATTAAGGGCTTTAACCACAAGACAAGATTCCGTGTGTTTCACCTTGAATTCCATCCACATCCGCATTCTATAATGCATGCTTACGAAGTGTATTTCTTAAATGAAATCCCTCAGAAATAAGAGATTTATTTATTTACGTAAGTCGTCGTCACAACGTCGCTGTTTTAGAATATCTCCTTATACACGGCAACCCGTACACTTTCGCTTTGTACGTGACAAACAATTCGACGAACATTTTGTTCTAAAGGAATTATTTTTTAATTCCCGTCCATATTACTTATAGAAGAATATTTTTACTATAAAGAGAAAATGAATGTTATTTCTTTTGCATTTAAACAACCGAAATGATCGCTGCTTTTACGGAACTAAATAAAGCAGGTGGCAGTAGACACCAATATTAAACTATGCGCTCGATCCAGAAGCTGCCGTTAGCTGGCGCCACTGGTTAGAACGCAACTTTCGTTTACTGTACTAGGGTACTTAATCAATCTCCACAATTACCAGTAAAAATATACATTCTATAAAATGGAGATTAAAATAACATTCAATACATGTTGGTCATTCAATAAATTATTATCACAAGGGACAAAGAAATAATGCATATTACCCTGAGGGATCCAAAACAATCTCATCCATAACAATATGTTCCTTGGATATTCTACAAACTCCAGAAACAACCTTCATCAATATGTTCTCCAATTCAAACGAACCTTCCTATTCAACGTGTCTCTCGGCAAATTAGGGAGATACTTAATCTACTTTAAATTAGACGTACTTGTTCAGAGCAAAGGAAGACAGTGATACAAAACGACACTGCTGCGTCATCCCCGTCTGACTCTTCCGAGAAGTTTCTTCGAACGATGACGTTTCATGGGGAGGGAGGGTACGTAGTCAATCATCGTGATCGCACGAAATAGACTCGGTTACAAGACGAATAATTCCATCACCGCTGGTGGGACCCGTTTCGCCCTCGACGATGAATGGAGTAAAGAAGAGAAAAAGCCTAAGAAGAATCGAAAGGAGCGATAAAAATGGCGGCGAACGTCGGGGCGGGGATGATGTATTTGCGTCGTGGCGAGCATTACTTTGGTTGGCCCGGGACCAACAATAACAGTGAAACTTTTAAAAGAGAGACCCGAGTATTCCTCGAACCTCAAACATCCTCACGGTGTTCACGAGGCGCGGACGAACGTTGTCTGTTTATCCATACGTCTGTCCGACGTTCTGTAAATCCTTCGACGATCCCGGGACTATATATCCCGGGACCATATCCCCTGCTGTACGTTACGCGATGCCGCCAAATTTACGAGGTTCCGTTGAATCGCCGTAATAACCAGCTCCTCCACCACCGATTTCGTTTCTTCTTCCGGAGAACTCATTGGGTTCATAATTTTTCTTTTTTTGGATTTTATGGGGAGAGGCCCAAGACCTCTTCTTCGTGGTACACACTTCGGTGACAGACTTTCTAGAAACGATCACGCGTTCTCCATCTTTGGAACTGCTAACTAGACTGTGGATTTTTATTCTTGGTGCATTAGATACCACTTATTGAAACACAATAGTCTGATTCCAAATACAGGAACACATGGGGATAGCGTCCTTTGAGTTGATTAAACGGATGTTGCAATTAAGCGAAGTATCATATACAGGTAAATACACTGCATTCGATTCAATTTTGTTCTTTGGGTTTGTCCCAAATAAACGGCTACCCTCGATTAATCAATGGCTCACATAAGCGAAATCCACTGCATCTAGGAAAGACACTCAAGTACTAATAACGATTGTTGACAAGGTTCAAGAGTCAATGAGGGAAGTCAAGGTCGTTCAAGGTCGAGAAGAAACTTAACTTCATTGAAGAAAAGTAGAATGAGTAAGTTCTGGTCCAACAAGTTTCAAAAGTTCCAAATGTCCAAGGAAGTTTAAAGACGTTGACTAAAGACACTCAAAAGGGTCCATGGAAGATACACAAAAATGGCAGACTGATGAAACGTTAGGTTATAGGTCAGTACAGAATTACATGGACATTACTGTAACATTAAAATTCTTCTTTGTAATTTTACGATAAGGTATTTTTAGGAAATACCTTCCCCTTCCTTTATCTCCATAGACAATTAACCGTTGTTAATGAAACCCAGTAATACAAATGTCTCCGGACCCTCGCTGTTTTTCCTTTTCCGAAAAATCGCTCGTGTCCACCCCTCCAAATAAACATGTTTACAGGAAACACCATTCGGTACACTTGATTTTCGAAGTTGATTGCTTCGCGGAAGCCGTAAAGATTGTGTCATGTGACGAACGGATCGTAATTCGATATAGAACATGGCCTAATCATGGCCTAGCGTTAATCGAATTCGCGCTTACCGGTCAATCTTTACGAAAAAAAGGGGAACGATCGATCGACCAACGCTATGCGTCAGATGATCCACGAAAATATTTTGTTCTCACCGTAGGCAAATGTTTGTTGCGCTTGATGGCTATTAATCCATTTTCACAAATAGCTTCCGGGCGAATTCTAATTAAATACCTCGACGCGGAACGAAACTACGGTGTATATTGAATTTCGATAAAATTTCCCCTGCCCTTTGGAATTCATAATCTACGATGAAAAAAAAGAAAGTCAAATTATTGGAAATCAGAAGAGGCTTGTGAATTCGATTTTTAAATACTTGGAATTTATGGACTCCACTGATGTTCGGGAACAGGCGTCACTGGCGCTGGTGTCGTTGAACTCTGAAAGCTTTTACGAAGTTGTAATAATTTCTTTCCCTCCCAGTATTTGTCGTTTCGCGGCGGCCAAGATAAATAATATTCACGGTTTCGTTTCTAGATAAAAAAGATAAAAAGAAATACCGACGATATGGGAATTGGGATAAATCATAGGATACGGTGTTCGCGTTGGAGGCCGCTCGTAAATCAA